GAAATTTCTGACAGAGAATGCCAAATTTCTGACAGAAAACAACTCTGCAGTTGTTTTCTTCAGCTTCAGTTTGATTCTCATTAAACAGCAAAGCTTGATGAAAGCGTCAAGTGATAAGACATCGCCTTCGTCACAGAACTGAGTTATATCTGATCACCTGCTATCAAACAGGTCAGGTTTCATTCTCGCAGCACATAAACACAAGATAGCAGTGGGCACGTGTCCACCCACCCACACACACACACACGCACACACACACACACACACACACACACACACACACACACACACACACACACACACACACACACACACACACACACACACACACACGCACACACACACACACACACACACACACACACACACACACACACACACACATTTTAAAGAGGAGGGACAAAAACCACAGGAGGGTTGGAAGCAGCAGTTTCACTCGTGTTTTGGCAATAATCAGAATTTTCTTAGGCTACTTTTTTCCACTGATGATTGTTTTGAAGAGTGATTAATGCCTCGAGCATAACTCTGTTCAGGCTAATTTTTCTCCATATCTTAAGAACAGCAGTGAATGTTCTTCATAATTATTGTGCTCAGCCCAATATCTTCTTATTTCAAATGTTTGATTATTCAGAAAGACAACAGCACTGTCCGAAAGAGCAATTCACATAAAAAGTTGCAAAAGATTTCACACTTCTGGACTTTTTTCACACAATGATACACAATATCCAAAACTCCAGTATATATTTTACTGGGACGTTAACACAATGCAATGTTAACATCATAATCTTCCAGGAAGGTGAACTTCTGTTGCCTCTGAGAGCTTTTCTTCACAGACTGCCCTGTATTTACCTCCCATCTCTGACCAGCTTTCCTGTGGAGGCTACCGATAGTTTGGTCTTAGGGGCATCAGATTTAAAAAAAAATTAGACACCATGAAGGAGACACTTTTCAATTGCTTTTTTTGTTTTATTCTTGTGCATTTTGCTCTATTGTTTCAAGCCCACTGTAGTCAGCCAGGTTCTGGCTCTGGTTCTGCTGGAGGTTTCCTCCTGTTAAATGAGGCTTTTCTCTCTCCACTGTCGCTAAATGTATGCTCAGTTGATGGATTGCTGTAAAGCAGTGTTTCCCTAATTATTTTGTGTCGAATCATAATTTTTGTCACACAAACACAAATGAGTTAATACTAAAGGATTTAGCACATCGGAAGCTAATTTTCAGCCCCAAGACTTTGATATATAGATCCAGATTTACTGAGCGGGTCACATTACATGTCATTCTATCAAAGTTTTTTAATTTCATGACTCTCTTCTGGCAATATCATGTCTTTATTTTCCCAATATTTAAACTGTTCTCTTAAGAGGACACAAAGCTGAAGTTAGTTTCCAATTCCAGCTTCTGATAAAGTGCGATTCCATTTCATTTTTCAGTACCTTCCGCGTCTTGAATTCACTCTGGTTTAAAACTACTAGGGGTGTAGCGATACAATAACCTCACGATACAATACAATATACAATAGTCTGGTCACAATATGATGTGTATCACAATATTTGGCAAACGATACAATTCGATATGATTAGATGTGATTCGATGCACTTTTAAGATTTTCTGAAAGATTTTAGAAGAACAGAGTTATTTTAGCGACATTTTGTGTTCCATAGCCTTGGATTTAATTAACTGAAAACTGATTAAAAGCACCAATTACACAATACCTTGCTCTCATTGGACAGAGTCTAACAGTCTTCAGCTGGAGAAAACGATTCAAAGATGCAGTGAGAAAATTAGTTTCTGTCATTTAATTCATGTGGATTTGACAAAGTTTCCACAGTGATCCAGGAGCCGAGTGGGGAGATTATCAGCCTCTGTAGACTCTCAATATGCAAATGATCACACTAATGTTTTTCTTTTGGACATACTGTGGCTGCATTTTGGAGTAAAAAAAGTCTTTTGGACTATAGGGAAACAGCTTTTCCACCTTGGCTCCTGGAGTTAGCCATGGCTGGAAGCTGTTCATTGCTAGCTGCTGGGGTAATGGCTCTGCCTCACCCCGTAGTGATCGACTCCTTGCAGCTGCGCTGTGCTGCCATTCCCCTGCTTCGATCTCTGAGTAGCTGCCTCTCAAACTGCCAGAATCTCATCGTTCTCTCAATCACTGATAGTCTGTCAGTTCCTAATAAAAATTATTGATTCATTTTTCAGCTCAAAACAGAGTGCCATTGCATGCTGCGTGTTCAACTGAAAAAAAATCTGAATTATTCCAGTTGATAGTAGCACCACCACCTATTGGACAATTGCATAAAATCCCAATAAAATACATTGAAAGCTTTGATTCTCGTGGAAGAAAACGTGAATATGTTTCAGGGGTGTACATACTTTAGAAAGGCGCTCCACTATGAGTAAAGTTTGGATTGAGAAAAACTTCCCTTAATCAGGATTAGATTGTCTCGCTGTGTAAAATAAGCCTGTGAAATTTACACATAAATCCAAAGAACAGAAAAAAAATAAGCAGAATGTTGTTAGAGACATGAGAATCACCAACTCACCAGCTGGTCAGGGTCCCCAGGCTCCTGGAATGTCTGATGCTGCGTGTTGGAGGGGCCGCTGGCTCCGGCGGGGCCCCATCCTGTGCCCTCTCCTGCGCAGAGGGTCTGCAGGAAAGCCGTGGCAGCTGCACATTGCCTGAGAAGACCCTCTTCACAGCATATCTGACGTCAGGATCCTGGAGGAGCTCAACGCTTGAGGCCGGCTCCGAGGAGTCCCAGTGTCTCTGGACGGGACAGGACAAGCGTGTGAAAGAGGCGAAGGGGGAATTCTGCAGGGTCACTTTGGTCAAAACTATAAGTTCTAGCTTTGATCAAAAGAATTAAGGCTGATCACTAAATGCCAAACTGAAACCAGATGCTCCATGAAAACCGATTTAAGAAACAATATAATTTCCATCGTGAAAACGCTTCAGAAAATAACTCACCATTCAGCTGTTCACTTTGATTCTGCTGTTTCAATTTTTTATGACTAAAGACAATAAATTAAATTTTTAAGTTTAGAAAACAAAACAAGCAAACAAAAAAAATCAACATTCTACATTAAACTGTGAGCATGTGAAAAAAAGCACCTGCAGGATTATCCTGATTTCATAAAGAATTGGGAAGTGTTTCCATATAAATATTTAGAAAATCCAGGAAAAGACTGTATTTTACATATTACAATAGTTTCAAAAGGTAAGCAGCAAACAGAGCCGGTTTTGTGACGAGCCTTTCAGAATACCGGTCGGGCGTTATTTTTGGAAGCCTTATCTGATTGCAGGTCCTGAGACCCCCACGGTCCTGGCTCAGACACAATAGGAGCTTCTTAACAAATCCAGAGCTCAGGATTCAGCTTTCAGGGCAACTTTGTTTTAGCGCGTCAGTGCCAGGGGCCTGCAGATAACAGCCTGTGTTTCTGGCCATGTCCCATGACCCTATCACTTCATGTGCCTGGATGTTTCACCTTTCCATAAACAACTGTCAACAGCCTTCTTACTTTCTTCACCATTGCTGAATGAGATGAGAATGACAGGAAGCTAAATAGAAAGCGATTGTGGATTTTAATTGTTATTCATTTAAGTTGAGAGAGTTTGATTCCTCATTACTGTTGCCTATTTTGACACCAATAATTTTTTTGTCAAAGCAGAAAGTTGAGCAGATGGCACATGACTATTTAAATACAACTTAAATGGATAAATAAAATCCTGTTTTAGTTAAGATTATTAGATTAAGTTTCTTTTTAGTTCAGAAAAAAAGACAAAACAGCCTAGTATGTCTCTTTATATGCAAATGGATTTAAAAGTTGTCTTTAAATGTTTTCCTACCTCTGTAACGTTGAAAAGTCTGGAGTTATTTCTTCTCATACTTTCAGCCACTCTGTCATGGGAACAGTTGAGCTTGGAAGGAAATGCCAAAGAGGAGGATACAGGAACCCCATTTAAGATCAGATAGGAGCTCGTCTGTGGCACCAATCCGTCTTCTGACTGTCACTCAACACGTCACGCTGTCCCCGCCTCTTCAGACGTCAGCTTGTGCCGCTGATAAACACTCATGGTACCACTTTTGGCTCAGTGCTTCACAGCAGCAGCTCTCACGCCATGACTTCATCAGGCCTGCAACATGCAGACATTCTTTTTTTTAAAAAAAAAGAAAAAAAAGTGGATTATTTTGTGTAAAAAAAGAAAGCATAGAAAAACCTCATGACCTGCATGACAAGACATCATTCATTCGTGTGTATATGGAGGCCAGATCTTGATATCAAGCACTGGTCCTACAGGTTACGTTCCTCACAGACAAAGGTTTCATAAGGCAAGGTGATATTCAGAACTGTGCTTTATCTTTCACTAGTCTTAGTTTTGAGTTTCTGCTTACTTGTGTGTTGAACTTTAATGACCCTGCCTGCTTCTGATGCGTACGTACATGAAGCACAGTTTGAAAAGCAAATACAAAACAAAGGAGAATGTCAGCTCTAACTGATTGTCTTTGGATTCTATGCTACTTTGTACTTGTATTATATGTTAAAATCTGTCACATTATGTATTTAACATTTTCTAAAGTTGTGCTTTAGATCATGAAGACATAAAGACAATATAGTCACCAATTGTGAAACCAGCAAAAACATTCATTTTATCAACTCCCATTATCAAAATCATCAATACAAATCAAATATGTTGAATGTTCCAGTTATCACAAGTCAAAAGCAGTTCTGATCAGATAAACTTCATTTAATAGCTTAGTAATGCAGCAGACTATGGTGGTTTAGAATGACAGCAACTATATCACTATTTTAAGAACCAGCAGTGACTTCTTTGCCTTTAACCTTGAATGTAACTTGATGTATGTTTTACTCTAGGCAGGCTGGCTAAAGTTGACTTGTATGAAATGGCGCCTCCTACTGGCCATGGAGAAAAGGGTGGGATACCAAAAAGTCATTTGCTTTGTGTAAGTGAAAAAGCGTCAAACAACAGATCAGATTCCAGATATTTTAGAAAGAAGGTTTCATTTATTTGTGCAAGTTTTAAAAATTAAGTGAACAGAATCTTCCATGTTTTTAGAGACAAAATGAAGATACAAAAAAAAAAATATCAGAGAGTTTTTCAGTTTAGAGGGTGCAGCATTGAGCTGCTTCTTCATTCATTGTGGCAGTAACTTCTGTAGTGTAGTTTCTGGCTCCCTCCGCAGGCAGCAGGTTTTGTCCCCTGAAAGTAACCGAGAAACAAAAACAAAACATGTTAATTCACTGTAAGGAAAGAGATGATGAGGAGTCAGATCAGAGACATTAACTGTACCTTATACATGGAGCAGACCAGCGTGAACAGGGAGGACATGGCCTTGTCCTGCAGGTCTTCTGTATGTACCTGTAAAAAAATAAATATAATTTTGAATAAACTGTAGAGTCTGGCTTTAAAATAGATTAATCCACTAAGTCAATCAGAACTAAGAAATAGAAGCTTTCCACAATAACCCAGTGGAGAGCAAGAGGTTAGCTCTTAAACATCCTCAGACCCAGCCCTGCAGCAGGCCTGGAAGGCCCGGGTCCTGCAGCTGTTAGATGAATAGACATAATGAAGAGCAACCAGGCACTGGCTGCTGGGTCAGTGCCTGGTTGTCTTCTGCAAAACAACAGAAGATGCCTCAACACTTTGCAAGGTGAAAACAAAAATTTGTGTTTGAATGGCCTAGTCAAAGTCCAGACCTAAATTCAATTGAGAATCTGTGGAAAGACTTGAAAATTGCTGTCCAGAGACGATTTCCATCCATCCAGTCTGACTGAACTTGAGCTATTCTGCAAGAAATAAGCAGCTCTTTCTCTCAGCTGCCTTGAGGCAGAGACAGCATCTATCTGGTAAAGCTTTGAGTTGCATCAAACTGCTGGCTTCAGAACTGATGGACTTTCTTCAGTTATCCATAATATCCTGGACTTTTGAAAGACGTACCCCATTGATGGTGATCCAGGGCACATACTGGTGGGGAGGGTTCAACGCCTTGGTCTGCAAGGCATTCTGGTGCATCAGCTGCATTCCCATGTCTCCATTAACACAGCTCATCACTTTGTCCATGCTCAGAACAGGAGCGTAGAGTTTCAGACACTACAAACAAGAAATTCAATTTATTGATAAAACGAGAACAAAAACAACCAAGCAAGAGAAACATTCACTCAGAAAAACCTGCTTACACTTTCAGCTGAGCCGATGACATCAGCAGAGGACTCCATGCAGAAGATGATTGGGAACGCCATGTCAGTCATGTTCATTATACAGGTCTAGAGAAAGTGGAGGAACTAATTTATTGGGGAAGCACAACTCTGGTGAGTAACAGAAACAGCACCAGTAACAATGTTCACCTTTAAGCCTTATTTGTATTCCTACAAAATATTCCAATAACGGTTTTAGAAACAACCTGAAACATATCACTTCCTCGTGATTCCCAAAATGTCAATTCACTGATAAATCTCTGAGCTGTTTGGGATTTTTTCAACATTGGGAGAAAAAACTGACCAATGAATAACCAACATACCAGATGTTCCAAAGATCATGAATACCAAAATTATTCATCCTGATAATAAAACTGTTTCAATTTATTGAATAAAAAAAAAATGTTTAAAAAAAAAAGCATAAATTTTTAAAAATATGATGGCATTATGTATGTTATTTATATTTTCAATGTAAAAATGTTAATTGGCAAAGCAGCAGTTATATGGAAAGCTGTTCAAAAATTATAAAAACACTATCAAATGTCCATATGAAGAAAAAACTAAATAAATATTAATATGTTTCATGGGGTGCATATTTAGTTAACTATAGCTTTATTTTTTTGTTTTTATTTCAGTTATCTATTTATCTTAATTTGAAATTAAAAATAAAGTTGATGTAAAGTAGCTTTACTAAATAAAAGTCTCACAAAATAAAACACCATTATAAAATGTAAAAATAAGTAAATAATGAAATAAAAGAATAAATCCTGAAAACATGAATACCCAGCCTGACTGGAGCCTCATGTAGAGCAAATATGTTTTTGATTCAATATTCAACCGTTTCATTGATCTGGGAGTAAAATGAGCTGATTTAATTAGTAGTGCTATCATGTAAGTGAGAAAAAGTTTACATAATTTGTTTCAGCCAGCTGAACAGCAACACGCAGCAACATGTGCAGGAGGGGCAGCACTGCATTACTCTAAGCTGTGTTTGACTTCTCATTGAAAATATCCTGACAGTGCAGGAATCTGATGATACCTGTGGCCCCATTCAGAGCCTCGGCCTTTACATATTAAATAATCAAATTAATAAAACACCCTGTCTGTCTGCAGCAGATTCCATGGCGGTGAGATTACCTCTATCATGTTCCCCAAACACTCCTGTTTCCCATGCTGGCACTCATAGGTGTACTTCTGAGCGACAGGCATCTCCTGCCGTGGTGAGACAATTAAAATCCGTCACAAAACAGACAAGTTTTATGTATATGAAATATTTCTATTAAGCAGCTGCTTACCTGTGCATTTCCATAGGGTACCAGAGTAACAGACATGATGCTGTTGAGCAGCAGGTAGGTGGGGAAGAGCATCTCAGTGAGGAACATCCTGCAGCCAGGACACAGGCTCTCATAGTACAACCCGACATGGACTGGCTCTTCGGTCTGATGGCTCCTCCTGAAGTCAGACTCCAGGCACTGCTTCAACACCTGCAGCAGGACGGCCAAGGCAGAGGAGTCTGAATCTGGGTGAGAATGTCTGCAAGCACCTGCTTTGCTTCTCTGGGCTTATAATCATCGAGGTTTGATGATTATCAAACCTACACATTACAGCTGCTGTTTAATTTGAGAATTATGTAGGCTTTGATTGTTCATTCCTAATAATATTTTCCACATATTTGAACATGTTGTATAGATTCAGGAAATGTCAGTGATTAAGCTTTCACTTGCAGCAGAGTTAGTCACCTGACACAGTGGCATCACCTGATAGAGTCAGGTGATGATCACAGTGACACAGTGATGATCCCATCACTGTGTCAGGTGATGATCCCACCTGACACAGATGCCAGGGGTCACAGAGAGAATCAGAATTACAAAAGTGAAGTTGATGTTTTGAAGGTAATTTATTAGACCTGATATCACCATACCAATATTTAACAGTATCAGTGCAGCCCTACAACTACAACTAATAACACTAATTTCACTGCATGATTTTGGTTTGATCGAGGGTCATTATTGCTCAGATTTTGTAAGAGTCGACTCACCAAAACGGGGAGAAATTAAATTTCACATCCAGTTTAAACATCGTTTTTATTATTAATTATTAATACAAAATGCTTAATTAATCAATCGAAATATATTAATCAACTATAAATAAGTACATGAGCTTTGGGGCTACTAAATTAGTAAAAAGTTAGTGGTAATAAGCTGAAAGAAACGAGTCGGTGAGTGCATAGATCTTTAGATTATATTATTATTAAAAAGTCCTTTTAATTCAGGAACTATATTATCATGTGACACACTCTATATAGATTAATTACACACAAATCAATGTTAGAAAGCCTAAGAGCAAAATTATGATGATTTTGCTCTGACAGTTATTGAAACTATGACGTTTAGGATTAAAATAATACATCAGATCAACAAAAAATAAGCTGAATTGAAACCTTAGTGACTAAGGAAATTCTTAGTCACTTCGAAAGATGTGGTATTTATTTTATCCTTTTTTGTAATTTCCAGAAACACCTGGTTTATTTGAGGTATCATGTCATTATTACAGAATAATATGTCTCTTTTTACGTGGTCCTTAAAGATGTTTTATTCAGTCAGACCTTTGGCTGGTGTTGGATGCGAGATGTTCATCAGTTTCTAAAGATGTTTACTGAAATGCAAAAGGCTCACACTGTCATGGTTTATGTATGGCATCATTTCTCTTCTTCAACCTGATGTTGCCATACTATTTTATAAACATATGTAAACTTAAACTAAAAAAACCAAACAGGAATCAAATATGAATGCTTCTGAACAGAACCAAGATGTCCTGTTAGAACCGGTTTCATTCATTGACACTATGGCAGCATTTCGGAGTTTGACACATTTCTGTTTAGAATTTCTTAACTTTTCAAAACTTGACTGTCTGTAACGCGCATGCGCAAGGCTGCCCTGTTTCACTTCCTCGTTTTTCCATATTTTCCCCTTCAGGTTATTTTTCTCAGAACTTCCTCTTTGACTTCATGATCTGAATAAAACAATAAACACTTCAAGCACTCGAACAGAAACCACAGGGCGAAACTTGGATGTTTAAAGCCATAAAAAGCTAGCAGACCAAGCCGACAGGTTGTCATGGTTTCGTGTTGCTGCAGTGTGGGGTAATTTGTCCCCAAGTCAAAAAAGTTCCACGTGTTTCTCTCTCTGTCCTTTGCAGCAGAATTTAGGCAAAAGCAAAACCAGTTTTAGAGAAGAAGTGAAAGCTCACCCCACACTGAACAGCGGATTCTAAAGTTGAGCACCACTTGGCTGGAGGCTGGAGGCAGGAGGAGGTTTGGACCGAGCCGCCGCCGACCGGAACCGCGACGCCAACCGCCAACAGCAGCACGAGCAGCAGCAGCATCTTCAGCTGTGGCCAAAACCTTCCACGCACGGTTCACAACTCAAACCTGCGGCTGAGTGGAACTGTAACTTTTCCTCTTTAAATACAGCTCCGGCGCTTCCTCCTGAAGCCTTTCGATTATCTGATTGGCTGCAGCCCACAGCGTCATCTGTAACTGGCAGAGAATCATCAAGCCTGCCCTCCCCTCTGCTGCTTCTCTGCAGAAGTGAGAATTCCCCAAGAAAGCAAATTTCCACATCTCTGAATAGCTTGGTCATCTTGCATGTTTACTCTTCCTGAGGTCCATGTACTTTTAATGACTCGGCTGTTTTCACTGAACGCAAATGAATGATTAACTAATATTTTGCCTGAGTCAGCTGAATCCTCACTACTTATCACATCTTAAGGTTTAAGTTGTGAGTGCAGCATGCAAGTCACTGTCACATGCTTATATCTCAACTTACTTCCTCGTTCTGGAGCAATCATAAAACTTTAAAAAAAACAACACAAAAACAAGTTTGGGACTTTGCCTAACTCAGTTGGTAAAATTTCTAATTCATGTTCAATAATCTTGTCAAAAATTTTCTTTTGAGTGTTGTATTGAGCTTAAATTGCTTTCACAAAAACTCTGGGAAAAAGTTTGTGTTGTCTGAAAATATAGCTTGAAAACATCCATAACAGGAAGTGACTTCATTAGAGCAGTTTTTGTGCACTGCCAAAATAGGACTAAAATTGGTAGAATGAACCTTTAATTTCAAGGGTATCTAATGGAAAAAAATTAGTGCTGCATTCATTAAAGAACCATAAATACATAACAAATAAGGAACCATAAATAAGTTGTGAAAAAGAAAATACAGAGAAACCAGGTTTCAGTTTAAAATCTTTTATTGTCTTTTGAAATCATTGCATTAGCCTACAGAAAGATCCATACAGTTTAAAAAGTACCTGTCTGAGGACACACAAGTCTGTGGCAAGCTGTACACGAGCGAGAAAGAAGGAAATGTTGCATCTGAGTTCAAACAGACCAACAGGAGGACAAGCAGAGAGGAACAGCTGTCTGCATCATGGCTGGCACAACGCAGCAACAGGCCTCTGGAACAACAGCTCTCCCTCTGCATTCAATTGCACTTTGGTGTACAGTAGCTTCATGTGACTGCTTCACCCATTTCCATTCATCAGTCTTTCAAGCTAATGAGTAGGTGTCATTATTACTATTGTGTTATTAGTCTTCGATCTTGCTGATGATAACCCACATTTGAACAGTGTTGCCTTAGAACCAAAGCAGAAACATAAGAGTTGAAAGTGAAGCTGAAAATGTTGCTCCTGACCGCGGGTAACAACAGAACACTAACAGTGCTGTGAAAAAGCATCAACGTTTCAGGACATCAGACTCTTTTCTTTATATTAGACAATCTGAGTAAATTGAAAAAGCAGCTTCAAATGATTTGCCACCTTTGGGTAGCAACACTCTGGTTTTCATTCAGACACATTGGGGGGTTTTCCAGCATGAACAGACTGTTAAACACAACCAGAGTCAGGTCCTTATTTTGACTATTTTATTTTAGCTGTTCAGAATGGACTGGATGATGGGCTTTGGATCACCGTCCAGCTGCATAACTTAAGAATATCTGTCCCACTACAGAACACAATTCAGTCAGATTATGGTAAGTGAATCCCAATTACAGGTGCATCTTTATTAGAACTTTAACGAGTTAAAAATATTAACAAAATTAATTAAAATAATTTTTACATGCAAAAAAGTCCCAATCTGGAACCTTTGCATACACTTGGATATTTGACGCACAAGCAGCATCTGCTAATAAAGTGATGGCCTGCATGCCAGCAGAAGGACGACCACTGAGGTTCAATTCTGCTTCAAATAAATGATGGAATTTTGGAAAAGACAATTGTTGTTTTCAAGTTGTGCTAAAAGGAGTTAGCCTATCAGTGAAGCTATCCAAGCCCAAACTGTGCAGCTGCAAAACATGAAGCATTAGCATAAAAGTCTCAAATGCTCATGTCTGTGTACACACAGTCACATTTATAACTTCCTGAGGAACTAAAAAACGAAATAACACTTTACTCCAATCTGATGGTTGAAGAACAGATTAAAACAATAAGCATCTTTGTTGTTTAGGTCATGTCTATTCTTCAATGATTTAGCAGCAAAGGGGTATTTGAATTGAAAATATTATTTTGTCATTATGTAGTTTTCGAATAAAATGCGATTAATTAATTATAGACTCAGCAATTAATCAAGTGTCACCACTAATCCTTATGTATATTTTTACCTGCACCTTTTTCTCCTATAGTTCTGTGGAACACTGACTGACTGACTGACTGACTGACTGACTGGGCCAAATGAGGCCTGAAGTTCTGTAGATGCTGTTCTTTAGATCATGTGTGCTGTTTAAAATCTATTCATTTAGTTTGTGTTATGAGACAGATTTTATGCATGTGATTTGATTCTACAGGTTTGACAGCACTGTGGCTATTCAAATCCACTCACTTGTCCAAACAATGCTTTCTAATCACTGTGAATTTGTGATTTAGGGTTTTACACATGTGCCCAATTTGCTTTGGATCAATTATTTTCTTGACACAAATGAAATGATTTGAAGCATTCTTTTTTCATTTACTCAGATCTTTGATCATTAAATCTGTGAAAAAACTACATCAGGAGAACTGTAAGAGGACCCACACTGTTTCAGAGCACTGAGCATCGGCTCAAACCTACAGACTAGCAACTTTCCTGTCCTAAAAAATAAAGACTGGCAAAAGGCAGAAAAACAGGAAGTGAAAGTGCAGTTGTCATCATATTTTTACACACAAAGTGACATTATATGGCTAAATTTTGGTCTTAAGGAGTGAGCTATGGAACCAAAAGATAAACTAATTCAGGTTTTCATTTGAACATCCTTTGCCCTATAGTGCAAACATAAACAATAGATCGCTGATAGTTATTCCTGAATTTACGATTATTGTACTGGATTTGTACTCAAGTATGTTCGCCAAGTGGCGCCTTTTATTGTTCACAACATTTCTGTACAAGCTCCTGAAATTCCATGTAGTGACCTTTATCAAAAATCCACCAGGCAGTGTCGCAGTGAAGTCTACCTGATCGTGAACAACAGAAACAGCAAGAGATTCAACAGGGTCTCAAGTTCAGTTCAAGCACATAAAGGTTCAGTGTGAGTTGAAGTAGTCAGCAGGCAGAGCGAACGGACTCGTGAAGAGCAGAGGAAAACAGACGGCTGAGTTATTATTCTGAAAACAACAGAGGATTCACAAAGCTAAAGAAGAAAAGAGAAAAACTAGTCATAACATCTTCAAGTTTACCATGAAATAAAAGTAATACATAACAATCTATCACAGCCACATGGAGGGACAGACAGATCGATTCTCAAGCTCACGTTTACTATTTGGTTAATTACATCTTGTAAACATTTGTATTTGTTTTTTCTGTATAGAGGAAAAAAAATATCAAGCTAGCTTATTTTTTTCTTTATAGGTTCTGTAAGTTTACTGTTAACAGCTAGTATAAAAAAACAACACATGGATAGACAAATATATCAGCTTTTTTCTTTCTTTCTTTTTAAAGTCAACTAATGAGAGCAAAAATATATTCAAGCACCGTGAAACATCTCTCTCTAACGCCATTATTGCTTCCTGCTGAGTTCACCCGACACTACACTGTAAAAATAAAACGTCTCAAATTCATGGTAAAACATCAGCAGCTGTGGTTGCCAGAACTGTACTGTATAAATACAGTAAAATTGACAGTAATTTACTATAAATTAGAGAGTTCTTTGTTACAGTGCACGGCCTGCAGCAATCACAAACATCTGGAGAGGTGAGACGCAGCATGGCGCCACTCACAAACCGCCTCTACTCACAAAAAAACTGAATCGTTTAAACGCAGTAGAAATTAATTTCTTTGCTATAAGAAATGAAAACGACAAACACTTTTCTGATATTTAAGAAATGCAAAGCAGCCGGGACTGTGCCAAACACACAGGCCTGTTCAGGAAGCATTATTAAGTAAGCATGAGCTCACTTCATCCCCAGAATGCATATTTGTTACAGTTGTAACAAATCCTACAGGAGCTCCGACCACCATACTGGTGGGTGTTGCAATTGTTGGGTAGAACTACCAAGGCTGAATCCTCCAGTCCTTTCCAGACCTTTGGTTTCCTCACAACACTCCTCTCTGATTTACAGACGTTTCAAATGAGTTTTAATCAGAATAAAAAGATAGCATAGATGAATCATTTTTCTTTGTTTCAAAATATCAAATCATCAAAAACAACCATCAGAATGTGGAGTTTGATGCACAGCGATGTATTTAGTTTGAAACTGTTTCAATCTCTCTTTAAAAGTAAAAATGAATTTTGGTGTGTAATCTCAGTGGGAAATAAATGCATCAAGTGACTAATCAAAAACTAGTCACCAATTTTACAACAATGCCATATAGTACATATTTTTATAAGTGTTATGGCTTAACTATGCATGAACAATTAAATTATTAATTAAATCAGGGGTGCACAATTTTCCTCCATTGTGTGAGATCTGCAATGTGAAGCTGATCTTATCCACTGGTCTTTACCTGCACAAAAGTTTTAAAATCAGCTACTGCCCCCTTTTGCTCTGCAGTGAGGACTGACTGACAGCGCCCCCACCAGGTCACATCTGCACAGCGCCGTCAACAAGTCACCCTACTGTTGTCAACGTAGAAACGTCATTATATTTTTTGACTTTCCAGACAAAAATAAGAAATCAATATCGGAATCAGTTGGTTGGGCTGTTTAAAGATCAGCGATCAACTGGTGCACTCTCAGTTTAAATACATTAAAGCTGGTTTATTTTTTGATAGGGTTCATTTATTACAATAAATCTTATGTTCTAAAACCCCTAAACAGTAGTATAAGCTAATGTGTTTACACTCACTAATGTGCACATGGTCATGTCTGTTAACATGAGGAATCAGTGAGACTGATGGGTCGTTTCCCACAGGGATTCTTCATCCTGACCGGCGGGCCAACAGGAGTGAGGTTTGGGTTTCTGCAGCCTTGAAGAAGTTCTAACCATTAGCTCACATCGGCGTGTGTTTCTGATTTGTTTAAAGCACACACACCAAAGAAGAATGAAGTCCTTTAAAACAGGAGGATTTCTAAGTGATTAACTGTAGCCTCTTTACTAAATCTTGTTATTGAAATTCTACAACAAATACTTTTCATAGTTTTCATACTTGATAAGATATGCTTTGAACATGAAGGTGAGAAAATGAGTATCAATTGTCTTGAAAGAAAATATTTGTCACAAAGACTCAAAAATATCTCTAGTTTCTGCCCATTTCACCCCGTTTGCTGCAAGAGTTCCTCACACTGTTAATAACGGAGCGATCTATAAAACAGATGAAAGTCTGTGAAATGATGTTGATGAAGCTTCCAGGAATATATTTCATCTTTATTGTACAAAAAGCTGTGTGTGTTACAAAGCTTAATCAGTCAGATACAATTAAATAAACTTCAAGTCACCTTTTATGCCATTTTTAACCATTTTGAATGTGCCAACAAATAACTCTACTGGTATTATGTTTCCTGAATTACATCCAAATCAGCGCTTTTTGTTGTTTTGTAACTTGGTGCTCAGCACTGCAAGTGATTCCCCAGGGAAATACAGAATCTGAACCAAATTCTGACAATGAGAAGAAGCTACAATAAAACTGATGTAAATGACATGAGAAAAACACAACTATCTGTAGGAAATATTCTTTTACCATTAACAGAAACTGCAGAAATGAGCCAGCAGTTCTCCTTTGAGCTTGTTAGAAAACTAAAACATCTTTGACACAACTTGCCTGGTAGAATTGAGGAAAAATAATGCAATCGGCCAAAAGCAAAATATTTATAAAACAGCTACTGACTGCAGAACAGCAAAAAGCACATACTGTACATTATATGCTCCAATATAAAAAAAAGAAATGTCTGATACTGGAAATATACTGTATACAACATTGTGAAGTAAAACATGCTATTGATAAAGCCTATCTGCTGTGTGTTAGTTTCAGAGTGCTGGACTGTGTGATGCAGAAGTAAACATGTGCAATCACAAAGTGTTGGTCCATCAAACTAAACTAAGCAAAAGTTCTGCTCACAAAGCTTAGAAAGTAAAAGGCTGAGGAAGGCTCCATGCATCATGGGGGTTCTGTTCATGCGTAAAGAACTTCTGAGCAGTCAGCAAGTTATCTGTAATACCTGCAGTAGACAACAGTAATCACCATCCCAGTACGGAGAATCAGGAAAGATTTGTCACCTGTTATCGAACTGGGAGGCACCAGCAGAGTTAGTGAACTGACAACATCTAAAACTTCTTACATTTTGATTTCTACCTCTGGGAATGTAAACCATTGGAGCATGAGGCCTTTTTGTGGCCCCCAGTCCACACAGGGTGGATTGTATGAAATGAATTTCATCCATGCTTTTTCTTTGAAAGTAGGTGCTACTTTTTTTGTTTGAAGGCATTGTTCCAGCTCTTCTAGTTACAGTGTGTGTGTGCCAGCAGAGGCAGCCTTGGGAGATGTCAGCTGAAAGAGTTCAAAAGAGTTCTTAAGACATGGTGATGTTTAAGCAGAGGCATGGAACATCAGCTGGTGACCAGAACAGAGAGCGCACCATGTCACTAACAGACTGCACTGACAACACTCTTCAGAGTGGACGTTGTTGCTGGAGGGAGAAGATCTAGTAAGCAAGGCTGCATGGAAAACATGTGATCTGCAATCATATTGCAGATCACATGCAGACTACGATTCAATAAGTAAACAAAAAATTACTGTCTTTCTGCATATTTTCAAAGGACTTTGAAGATGATTTATGGCAATATATGTTCCATTTTTACATTCTGATTATGTGATAAAAAATAATTAACTTAGAGATCTACAATTTGTCTTAGAAATCTCATTTGGTAGAATTCTTTTTAGTTGGGTTTTGCTCATACTGAAGGATGATATCATATATTTCTATACTTCACAAACAAAAGCAAACCTGATTATTGCAGGTAATCCTGGTTTTATTTAAAAATGAACATTTTATTGTGAAGACAGTCAAACTGTCAGTTATTCCAAGTAGAAAAATATATGTAGTACATTAATAGTAAATGAAGAGAAATCAGAAATAGCATTAATTGGCTATAGAAGGTCAGAGTTTAACAAAATGAAAAATCTTTATCTATGTATTTATTTACTCAGGTCATTAGTATAGCTTTCTAATAACTTGAAAAGGAAATCTTCATATTTTAAGAAAAAAAATTTGAATCAGCATTTTTGGACGAAGAAAAATGAAGAAGATTGTAAAGAATTTTCAGTCAAACAAGAATAAGTCAATAAACGTCTTTTTAAATCATTGATTTTTTTGAATGACAAATGTTGATAGAAAGATCAAATTTAAAGAAATGCATGCAAGGCAGTTTATTCTCACCAATGCTGAGCTTATAAGATGTATATTTGATGGATAGAAAGATTTTTATTTATTCTTCAAACTGGGATGTTGCTGCTGCTTGTCTACGTCAGGTCAGTCCTTTGCTGTCACATGTGCTTCACACAACCCACTTCAAGATATTCAAGAAAAAAAATATATTGCTGGAACTTGGGAGGCTAGTAAAGAACTGCACCAGGCTAAAAATGGATATTGTTCTCATTTCTAACTCATCTACATTTCATTACAGATATAGCAGATAGATATAGAAAAAACCAAAAACTTTAGTACACAACAGAGAACGAAGCTACTGTACAGCTGCAACCAAACAAAGAATGTAACAATCTCAGATGTAACAGCAAAACCAGTCATTCTGTGCACTACACACACACACACACACACACCCACACACATTCACACACATTCACACAATGACAACAACTAGGCTCATTTGCCAGATATTCCTTAACCTTAGATATGGCAAATGTGTGGCACAACAACATGGTGGCGATGGCACCGTCTAACGGTGACAACAAGGAGAACACAAACTCCTCAGGATGACAGAAGGCACTTGTAGTCGCCTCCCTCAGGGCTGTAAACCTGTAACCAGAAGCCGGGCTGCCGCCTCTGCTTTCATTTCAGGGATCAACGTCATACCAACAACTGTGCAAATGACTCTATAGTACAATGAACCCATCTCTATCCGAGCTTCCCAGGTTAAATTCAGCTCAGTAAGGGGCGACACTCAAAGAGCTGTGCTCTAGTCCGAAGCAAAGGTCTTCACATACAACTTCTGATGCCACCTCTTCACATGACGTTAGGAGCAGAAAACTGGTGAAGATCACATTTTGGAAACTTTTCTAACCCCCGACAAAAACACATGAAGCAGAGTATTAAACACTCCATCATAAATGACTTGTCTGCTCCAGGATATAAAAATATATATTCATACATATTCTCTTTACCATTCTCAGTCATTTGTGTAAGAAATTATGAAAGCTTTGTGTCTGTTTGAGAATCAAGTTTAAAAGCAGCCTTGAAACTTGTCTCTCTGCAGTGCCTCCACTGACCATAAAAGGAACTGCATGTCTCTGTATTTGTACAACTGTGATTTAAAAGGGATGGAAGTGACAACAATTAGTCCCTCGAGCCAAACGCACACAGTACAGAACAGTATCTACTGATCTGGACTCAATATAAAATTTAGAGTGCTTGGAGTACCACACACCTTGGAGTAATCACTACATGCCAACTGATTTTCAACCATCTGTTTGATTAAAAATAAAAGAAACAAAAACAAATGAAGATCTCAATACATGCTATAGCAGGTAATCTCTCAGCTGAATGGCAAGAGGACGTGTTCTTTTATTCCTGTTGTGCTACATGAGAACACATCCTTCACTGGGCTCACATTTGAAGGATCATCCAAATCCTCAAACAGAACCTAAGAAAACAACAAATATTCTGAAAACATAAAGGACACTAGGGAACTCTACAAAGTCACATACATCTAAAGCATGTGGGTCTAAAATATACTGTACACAACATATATTACTGCCTTCTTTTATCTTTTTTTTATACATTAATGTTCTCCAGCTCTGAATCAAGCATCAGATGAAATGAACAGTCAGATGCAGCAGAGATGTACCATCAAAAACTCTGCCTCAAAGAAACAAATGAAAACGTTTGTCTGAGAGGGGATCACACCACCGGGAGTCTACTCCAACTTTACAGGAAACTAATTTAGTACCGACTGTCGAAGAATCAAAGAGGTTGATACTCAACAAGCGCTGGTACCGCAGTGAATCTACACACAAAAGAAGAGCACTAACAGTGCAGAGTGTCAATAGCTACGTGTGCTACAGTATTAGAGAAAAAAAAGGAAGAGGCATCTGACACAGCACACCTGCAGGAAAGTTGCTATATATTCTGTCATTGACAAAATAACAAATATGTACCATGCATTTGCTCCTATTCCTCGTTTAATGGGTATTTCTTTCTCATTAGTTCAAAGAGAGACCTAATGAGAACCACACAGCAAAGCAGATGGATATAAATGAGTCTATAAAAATATACCTGCCTGTATATCTTTTAAAGCTGTAGCCACATTGATATTATTCCTAGCCTCTCCTTTGAACCCTTAAAATGTAAAGTGACTGAAGCTTGTGGTCACTTCGGTCACTAGAATTCCTGTGTGCTTCTGGAAGGTAAAACCCTTAAAATCCCTCAGCCCAGCCCCAACCTGCTGGATCCTCTCAGCCACCTTCAGGTGGGAAGTGACTAGCCATTCCTTTATGGAATTAAAAAGCATACTTTTGTCAGTGTTTCCAGAGAGTCTGGAGTTTACACATAGGACATTTGTTTAAACACAGATACTTTGTGCTCAAGGTATTAAAAAAAAGCTTTACATATTTTCAATAGTTTCACTACATGCTTTTTGCATCTCATTTGTGCAGCCTTAAAAATACTTGTTTGTGCTTATTTTGTTCTCCTTTAACACATGTTGTCTCTAACATCTCTGTGTCCAGTCTACCTTCCTGTGGATGTTTGGGGCCTTTTGTAAATTTTACCCAGTAGAGCTGTGACTGGCTAATCTAGAGGTTCCCGTTTACCCTCTCAGCCAGTGGCTCTGTGTCAGTAGTGGTGTGGTTTTTGGGAGGAGTGTTTTTAATGGACTGGGTTCTGTCAGGGAACTATAGATGCATCAGATTCCAGACAAAAACACACTTTCTCTGAAACAGTTGACACTGTCCTGGGCTCCAGAGGCTCGAAGCCCCACTGCTGGTAGATCTACAGATCATCTGGGCTGCTGGTTCTACTTTAGGTTCTGGGAGCGGGCCAAGACTGGATAAGCTAGATTTACATTCAGATGGTCGTTGTGTTGGGCCAAGGAGACGTTTTTGTAGTGGAGTACTAGCTCTTGGAGAGACGAGTACAGATTGTAGGGCTCAGCAAATCCATAACCCGTGGCTGTCTTGTAGATGACACAGTGCTTTGTTTCGCCATCAACACTGAAAAGAAGAGCAGAGTTATTACCAGGTTAGAGTAACGGTGCAGTACAGGAGCACTAAACTCAAGCAGTTTCTCGGTTCCCAATACAAAAGATTCATAAAAGATTTTTCTGCATGAAGTATTTCAAGGGACAGCATTATGTGTTTTTCAGGCACATAGAATCATTTTATAGCATAATTAACTATAAGGGCGTCATGGAGGAGGGCTGCTCTGTGAGGCAGAAGCTTGGAAACAGCATCTTACAGGAGGAGCTGTATCTTGAAGGCGGGGCTAGGTCCACCCAGGTGTTTCACATTTTGTTATTATTTTTTGTACTTTAATGTGCTAGTACACTGGATCTCAGTGTCAGATCAAGGATGTGAAATACATTCTTATTTAGAAGAACACAAACTTACACAACTGAACAGGCATAGGAACCCTTCTGTGATTGGCTTTCCCTGATGAGAAAGGTTCCATCACATTTGTCTCTCAACATTTCCTCTGCCTGGGAGCGCTTGATGTCACCGACATACCAGGTACAATCGTCATGGTGAGGTGAGCTGTCATCTTCCTCCAGAGAATAGGAGCTGAACAAAAAAGTCAAGCATTAGTGTTCAAGAGCCGCTCTGGATGCTGGTTTCACTAAGCAGCCAGATCTGAGCTGGATCACTTACTCATCAGCATCGATCTTTATGTCCAGCCATTCATTGATCTTCTTCTGCCTTGTTCCCTTCTGTGTCAACCATCTGAAAAACAGAAACCCCCCCAGAGACTGCTGAGCATGTCTGCAGTATATGTGTCTCCTGCACGCCCTCATTGGTCAGAAGAAAGCTGGCGCTTACATTAAGTACTGGTCCCTGATCTTGCGAAGCTGCATGAGATCTGGCTTGAGGCTGTTCATCTTCTTGTCAATCTCTCTGTTGTCAGATACCTGCTCCTTCAGGTCTTGCTCCAGTTTTCGCTTGCTGTCGTGGATTTCCTTCACGCGGGACTTCAAACGCTCAGAGTTGCTCTGAATCCTGATTTGAAAGGATATCACAATTGCTGCCTAAAACCACAAGCTGGATGAGGATGAATAAGAATGCAAGTCTGAACATACTTTTGAATTTCCTTCTCGTTGCCCTCTCTTTGGAATCGCTCCAAAGACTCTCGGCTGTATTTCTCCTGGGTCTCAAACTGTTCTTCAAAGATCTTGATGGTTTCATTGAAGGCTTCGATAGCTGTTCGCTTCATCTGCAGCTCCTGCAGGAAGTATCAAACCAGGATTTCAAAAAGCTACAATTTTAGAATCATTGAAATTTTCCACCACACAATGATTTCAAGACTTCAGCTGAAATGCCAGAGAAAGTTCTGGAGTCACCAAAGTTACTCTGGTCACTAAGTCTTCATCCATCCCTTAATTCCACACATATACAGCACAAAGGTTTACTATCAAAGATGAGGAGAAAATGATGGTGTTTTGTTGTTGCCTAGTGTAAATGTCAGAACAATTATAAATCTATAAATGAAACTAAACTCTCCTGGTGTTGACAGATGACTGACAGAAAACTGCTACAACGTGTGTTGCTATAGTGACCGAATTTTAGCGCATATGTAATCAAATAAACTAAATAAATCTTTGCTGTTGTGTTTGAATGACTGCACAGAAATTAATTGCTAGTCTAAATGGATTTCTCAGAAAAGTTACACTTGTTTGATAGGTTAATATAGCTAATAAAATAAAAAAAAAAAAACGTAAAAATTGAAACAATTAGCAAAATTTTGATTGTTAATTAACTGGTAGCAGACAGTTTTGGCTTGTTTTGCATGGAGAAACTGAAAAACTATAAAAGCACAAATGCAACAGCTGGACAGGTGTGTATTTGTGGATATCAATCACTCGATAACACTGTATGCAAAAGTGTTTTGTCAGTCAACTCTTCAATTTATCCGCTTTATTTAGTGCTTCCAGTTACCGTTAAGGAACAGATTCTTTAGGCTTGACATTATTAGCCACTTCTTTACTCTAAATTCACTAATACACTATAGTAAATAAGGAAAATCTTTTTTTTCCTTTGTTTGGAGTGAATCGGACCAACATCTTGTTGGTCAGAATTTATATATGTACAAAATAATATATTTACAACTGGAAGTAAGAGCAAAACACAGAAAGAAATCTTGCTGGCTACTCTGTTACTGAGCCAACACCAGCTCCCTCTGGTGGTTTCAGCAGATTTTGGACTAATGAGGGTTTCATGCCTCAGACTCAGAGAGAATAATATTTCTCTTTTGTGTTATATCTTGGGGAATATTTTACATGGATAGAATGTTCTAAACAGCTCAGTAAGCATCTGTCAGATGACAATGGAACTCATTGGAGTTCACTGAACAAGTGCTACCTGTGAGGTGCGAGTGTACTCCTCATACAGAGAGTCGTACTCGCGGCTCTTCTCCTGGTACTGCTCATGGTAGACCTTGAGCTGCTCTCCCACCTCCTCTATGCTGTTCTCCTTAACCACCTGAGCAACAGAAAGCAGAGGAAGAAGATGAAATCAAAGTGGTTCAATGCTGAAAATCTAAATGTGTGCTTTAAACTTCAGTCAGTAAATGAACCAACCTGCTGGAACTTGGAGATGGGGTAGAGCAGCTTGGTGTCCAATTTGGCGTTGTACTGGGCCAGGGACTCGTGGCGGTAGTGATTGATGAGGTCCACCACAGACTGGAAGGTCAAAGGCTCTGAGAAGCCATAGCGACTCTCCTGGTGATAAATCTTGATCAGTTTGTTGTTCCCACCTTTCCTGCAGGGGGAGACAGAAATCTGGTAAACAGGATGGAACTGAACCTTGGATGTGTGTGTATCTCTGCAGCTCTACCTGAGAGTCAGAGTGTACTCGCCCTCCAGTTTGCTGGAAGCGTCTCGCACCAGAAAGGTTCCATCTGGAGTGTCTCGCAGTTTCTCATTCACCTCCTCTCTGCAGACATGGGAACATCAGTTTTCAAGTCCTGCCACAAAGTCTCTATTGGATTGGATTTTGACTGGGCCACTCTAAGCCCATGAACATGCTCTGATCTAACGCATTCTATTGCAGCTCTGGTTGTATGTTCAATGTCGTTGCCAAGCTGGAAGGTGAGGCTTTGTTTTCCAGGGACATAGTGCCATTTTATAGCACAATCAAGTAACTGTGTTACTTCCAGTTGTTATAAAATGCTGTAGATATCAAATAGGTCTTAAAAGAAATTTGACTTTTACATTAAATCACTTGAAATTTGGGCCTGTCTCTTTCAAAACTCCACTTTAATAAAGTCATCACAATATAGCTGCTCTATTCATCCTTTGACAAAGTTTTTACAGTATAAATTTTGCATAATAATGCCCCTCGAAGTCAGGTGAATCCTATAACAGCTCAATCCAAGTTCCAACAACTCTGACCAGTTTTCTTATCCCTGGTGAGAAGAAACCTCTATCATATTGCCCCATGGAAATGATAGAAAAGTCTTATAAGAACACCACCAACTTATAGATCAAAATATTTAATTTCCTTCCACTTCACCAATAACATCATAAATATATGTTTGGCTGGCTTACCTGGAAATATCTCCCCAGTACCACTCAGCATCGTTCAGTAGGCTGCTTGTGTCCGTCATATCTGATGGGGCTATTTTTGATTTGGTTGGTTTCGCTGGAAGAACTGGAAAAACAAGCAGAAATTCCCATTGAAAATTGGTTAGTCTGATGGAATCCCAATTAATTCCAATATGCTAAAGATAGAGTTTACCAGGAGGAGGGAAGTCTTGCTGTGCAGTTCTCTCCACCAGCAGCCTCTCTACCACCAGGACGGGAAAGTCCTCCTCCCATAAATACCTGACAGTCAACAAGTCAGTCAGCGTGGCTTCTATCTCACCTCCTTTGCTTTGCTTACAGTAGCACAGAGGCCCAATCTAATATACTGATCAGCTTCAATTCAGGATAAAAGAGCTCACCCTTGGGCTGAGGCACTTGTCCTAATCAGGAGGGGGCCAAAGATCCTTCCCAGAGTGTGAGTGTCCAGGCCGTTACTGGCCTGAGCCTGAAGCACCTTGGTCAGGTGTGTGAGCAGGTACTGCAAGGTGAGACGATGATGGAGCGGGACCACCGTGGAGTTCTCCAGAACCAGACTCACCTCTCTGTCATGGCTACCAGCAACAGCTCCATCTGCCAGATATTCAGTAAACCTGAATTACTTTATGTAGAGCTACTTATTGTGTATATATACTTGATCAAATGATTTTTAAACTATCAGAAGATTATTTTATCATAAGCCTTTATTTCACCAGAAAAATCCCATCAAGATAAACCCCTTAAGTGGCAGTACCAAAATCACCAAAAATGACTGAAAAGGACAACACTTGATATACAAACTTCAAATGTCTGTAAGTCAGTGCTTCAATATACAGTCATTAATGAGGGTTCTAATGAAAGATAATGACCAGAGGAATCCTCAGATCAGGGGATAAAAGGGGCAGGGGCTCAAGCCCCCTTGACCCCCCCCCCGCTCGTGCCTGCCTCGTTAAATGTTACGCAATAAAATGACATGGTTGGTTTTCATCCTTTCCATTTCTGCATGGAAAGGATGAAATTTTTAAAGTGAAATAAAGTGAATAAAAGGAATATTAGGCCACCTATTGTCTTTTTCTTGACTAGCTTTAAAGGAAAACATTGGTTGTGTTTGCCAGCTAGAGGCTCAAGATGTTCACAGCTCCTCTCTTCAGGTCGTCGATATTCGCGGTCTTCGAAGGACCCGGATGCAGACCCAGAATTCGGACACACCTTTTAACACAAATCTAGGAACCGTGACTCATTACATGAGAACATAGAATTCGGCGGGTTTGATGTCTATGACATCATAAACATCAGGGTGTTTATTCGCACTTCATTCTTCTCTAAACCTCAGTTCACCCTTGTTTGTCTCAGAGTCTGGATCAGTTCCCGTTCATCTCACTTTTAGAGCAAACCTTTCTTCAAACCAGCGAGTATGGCAAGTGGAATGCGTTCTCCAATTGTTGAGACCCAGAGAGTCACAGACAACGTCCTGAGGAGTATGGTTCACCCACTGTTTACCAACTTAACTTGGATGGAGTACCTGCGTCTGCCAACCGGGGACCCCGCACGGACCACCACCTGTGTTCTGGTCAGGATATTGAAAGACATCTTGGAGCTGTTTGTTGTGAACGCTCTGGAGAATCTTCCTATCGACAACTGCAAGACTGAAGCGATCGTAGGCCACAAGTTGCCAGAAGCCTTTGCTAAGGTCATAAAGGTTGGCGGAGAAGTCCGAACAGAACGCACTGACAATCTAAACCATCTGATTGTCTGATACGTGGTGGAGAGTCAACTCTGAGGAAACGGCATGCAATCAAGTTGATGAATTAATCAACGCTATGGTTGACGAAGTCAAAGTGATGGTGAAGGATATTTTTGTCAGATTGCACGCATCGAGTAAGGAGTCCAAGAAAGCCATTGTCCGCCCAGTTGAGCAAAGATCTTTGCTCAAAGGCCTGAAAGGAAGGATCCAGGGTTTTTTCACTAAGTTCACTGGGAAACAATCATCACGGGTTGCTCCAGTGAACCCAACAGAAAACCCAGGAACCTCTCACATCATGGCCCAGGCGACAGCAACCTTGATTCCTTCATTGGAAGTGGAGGCCAGGTGTGAAATCTCACGTGTAGAGGGCCTACATTCCTCCAGATGATGTATCAGATATCATAGATCTTGACAACTATCCAGAGATGCCGTCAGCCAAAGACTCTCAGGTACATCGATTAGAACTGAAGTCAAGGTTTGAAATCACACCCAGGGAGGTCTTCGTTCATGCAAAGACTTCGATGGGAGAGGATTTCAAGCCAGAGCTCTGGTTTGATGAGATCACACCTGTGGAGCCGTTGATTGCAGTAGTTGGGTGACTTTTTAGTTAGTCAGTTAGTTAGTTGGTTAGTTAGGTAGGTGTTTTTTTAATTGCTCATGTAGTAGTTAGTTCGTTTTTATATTGTTTGCTTCATAGTTCGTTTTTATATTGTTCGCTTCATAGTTAGTTTGTTTTTATATTGTTCACTTCATAGTTAGTTTGTTTTTATATTGTTCACTTCATAGTTAGTTCGTTTTTATATTGTTCACTTCATAGTTAGTTTGTTTTTATATTGTTCACTTCATAGTTAGTTCGTTTTTATATTGTTCACTTCATAGTTAGTTTGTTTTTATATTGTTCACTTCATAGTTAGTTTTTATATTGTTCACTTCATAGTTAGTTTGTTTTTATATTGTTCACTTCATAGTTAGTTCGTTTTTATATTGTTAGTTTCATAGTTTGTTTTTATATTGTTCACTTCATAGTTAGTTTGTTTTTATATTGTTCACTTCATAGTTAGTTCGTTTTTATATTGTTAGTTTCATAGTTAGTTTGTTTTTATATTGTTCACTTCATAGTTAGTTCGTTTTTATATTGTTAGTTTCATAGTTAGTTTGTTTTTATATTGTTCACTTCATAGTTAGTTTGTTTTTATATTGTTCACTTCATAGTTAGTTTGTTTTTATATTGTTCACTTCATAGTTAGTTTTTATATTGTTCACTTCATAGTTAGTTTGTTTTTATATTGTTCACTTCATAGTTAGTTCGTTTTTATATTGTTAGTTTCATAGTTAGTTTGTTTTTATATTGTTCACTTCATAGTTAGTTCGTTTTTATATTGTTAGTTTCATAGTTAGTTTGTTTTTATATTGTTAACTTCATAGTTAGTTCGTTTTTATATTGTTCACTTCATAGTTAGTTTGTTTTTATATTGTTCACTTCATAGTTAGTTCGTTTTTATATTGTTAGTTTCATAGTTAGTTTGTTTTTATATTGTTAGTTTCATAGTTAGTTTGTTTTTATATTGTTCACTTCATAGTTAGTTTGTTTTTATATTGTTCACTTCATAGTTAGTTTGTTTTTATATTGTTCATTTCATAGTTAGTTCGTTTTTATATTGTTAGTTTCATAGTTAGTTTGTTTTTATATTGTTCACTTCATAGTTAGTTCGTTTTTATATTGTTAGTTTCATAGTTTGTTTTTATATTGTTCACTTCATAGTTAGTTTGTTTTTATATTGTTCACTTCATAGTTAGTTTGTTTTTATATTGTTCACTTCATAGTTAGTTTGTTTTTATATTGTTTGTTTCATAGTTAGTTTGTTTTTATATTGTTAACTTCATAGTTAGTTCGTTTTTATATTGTTAGTTTCATAGTTAGTTTGTTTTTATAGTGTTCACTTCATAGTTAGTTCGTTTTAATATTGTTCCAGTGTATTAAAAAATATTCTTGCCCATAATTTTATAGTTAGAGGATTTGATCCACCCCTCTCCTCCTCACCATGGGCCTGAAGACTGAACAACATGGAGGAAGAGAAACTGAGAGTCATTATTAGACTGAGGGGCACAAGCAGGCCTTCTGATGTACAGATTAAAAATATTTTTTTTTAAATTAAAACAATAAAAAATATCACAAAGGGCACCAGAGCATCAAGGATAAAAGGTGGGCTCAAACCCCCTTTACTCCCCCTCCCCCCTGCACATGCCTGCCTCGGATCGACACATTATTACTGATATTAGAAATTACCATTATCCCTCTTTTCCCCCCGCACTCTAGCAGTAATATATCCCCTCCTCCCCTTGGTACAATGAGTTTCCGAGTTGACCAGTCAAAATATTCCAGAAAGAATAAAGGCATGTCAAAATGAGCTCATGTCGCTCTCGGGATATTATTGGCTCAGAAAAAGACATTTCATAACATTACTGGTTGAATGCGGTGTCAATCAAATGGGGGCCTCTATGCTGCCCAATAAAAGTGTCATACTGGACACTTTTAAAGAGTTTAAAGAGCAGAGTTTAAAGAGGAGAAAAAGGCAGAGAATTCAGACAACCTAGATTTGTCCGATGGATGAGATACCGCCAGTTTAAAGGGTTAAAAATCTCTTTTTAGTGTCACTTTTTCCATTTTCAGATCTTCAGCTGTAGTAATGATTGGAAGATATTTACTTTCAAACGACCCATTAGAAAACACCATCATCTTTAACGTATCTACATTTAAAACAAGTTTAAGTTAATCAAGACTTATCTGATAAACATCAAAAGTTGACTTTATTTGATTAAAAACACATAAGAGACTAGAACCATCTAAAAAGTATCACCAGCATGTATATATCACCAGCGCTTTTAGATGCTGTTTTATAATGAAGAAAAGCGGCCCAAGATCTGATCCCTGAGGAACACCAAGATGAAGTTAAACCTCCTACTTAAACAATTTATAAAACAGTTGTCAAACCACTGCAGAGTTTGAGTTGCCTATTCTTTTAAAGACAAGACGAGTAATAAAGTACTCGTTTCCATCTGTATACCAGCTGTTAAAGTAATTTACAATAAAGTGTACGTTTCTATTATTATTCTTGTTGCTGAAATGTGCTATATTAATAAAATTTGATTGATTGATTGATTCTTTAAAAATCAGAAGCGTTTTGTACTGTAGCTTGGCATTTTCAAACGACAAAAAAAAATAACCTGCTGGATATTTTTTTTTGTTTTTTTGACACAGGAAAAGATATTTTTAAAGCGGTAAAACAAGCTTATATTGTGGGTTTGCAACAGTTAAAAAAATTCTTCAGTACAAATGGAAAAAGAATTGCATAGATGGTCAGAAGAGAACTCAACAGGAGCTGATTCTTTTTGGTACGGTCCACTTTGTTTCATGACTTTGCACAATTTCACATATGTACATGAAATAGTAAGTCCATTCATAGTCTCCGCCTTGTCCGACACCTTTAAGATCAAGTTTGCTTCTGCGCTCCAAAGATTTTACCTCTGTAAAATCTCATGATTCACTTTATCAAATGCTGCACAGTGTTGCTTATTATCCAAAAAAAATCACTAAAATCACTAAACACTTTTAGCAGATAAAATGTGTTATGCATCAAATGTTATGATAATTAGATGTATAAAATTATGTATCTCATTTGAGCAGAATGAGTGAAGAGTCCTTGTATATTACAAAAAGATGGTGTTTTCCAAACCAAAAGAATTTTTCACACTGGAACTCCCATCAGTAGAATCATATACAGCATGTCTACTCAGTGTCGGACCCACCTAGAGACTGCTGGTGAAGCAGCTGCTGCATGACTGCAGTTTGAAGTTGCAGATAGATGCATGCAGGGATGACAGGTGATGGGAGGTCTCTCAGGTAGCACAGGATGCTCTCAGACAGGAAACCCACGTCATTCTGAGCAGCATCGCCTTCTGAAGCAGACAAAATGTCAGTGAAACTATCATAGAAAGAAGTTTATGTCTGACTATTGGTAAACATGAGACAGAATCTTAGAGCTTCAGTGACATCTTCATTGACTCTCTATGACCTGGCCACCAGGTCACATCCTCTCCTGCGCAGTGAACGATATTCATATTGCTGTTGCAACTTAGAATCTTTGTTGCTATTGGCAACTCAAGCTTTCTAAAGATCGGTCAGAAAACTGCGATCAGTGCACCTCCAAATCCAAAAATGAGATTTCAGTAAGCATATATTCATTTCTATATTTTCCAACCAATCACTGTACTTACCAGTGCTTAAGGTGTACACTGAGCTGTCTGATGTGCTTGCTGTTCTGTACAATATTTTGCTGTCCAGACCTAACAAGAACAGAAGGAGCACATCAGTAGAAGTTCAAAGAAAGAAGTAGAGAGATCAGCTCAAGAAGAAGAGATGAGTTGAATTGGAATAGTTTAACATGTTATCTTCTAAAAAAGATGGAACCAGGACATGTGGTTTTCCCTCTGGTGGTTATGCAGCAGTGTACACAATAGGGCTTCAAGAGAGAAACAAATCTTTTGACAACGTTAATAGACCAGAAAGTATTTCTGACAGACTAGCATGAAAAGAATTGGTTTAGACAATTTGCATCTATCAGGCAGTTCCTGGAGACAGGTCTGTCTGTCAGGTAGGAGTGAAAAGCACACAGCATGTGTGGAAGAGGCAGTTCGACAGTGCAGCTCTACTATTTCTGCTTTCCATTCAAAGACAGCTTTTCTGTCATTCTTTTACTAAATGTCAATAATTCCAGTTTACCACTGCTAGAATGAGCAACAGGGAACATGGGATAACAAAATTATCTGCACAAAATGCTAGTAAAATGGCTTTGTAACAAGAGTGTACTGAATAAACATTAGATATATTTATAGAAAGAAATCACAGTAAGAAGCTTGTGGCTTTAGTTCTATTAGAGCTGCAATATTATTTAACATAATATTACTGACTGTGTTAGCATCAGAATACAATAAAGATCTGCCAGACCTCTCAGGTCTTCCAGTTCAGGAAAGGCAGAGCAAGAGCAGATATTGAGAAGCATCATTCAGCTTCTATGCACCACAAATCTAGAACAAACTTTCAGAAAACTGCGAAACAGCCAAAACAATGAGTTCTTTTAAATCTAGACTTAATCTAGACTGTTTAGAGCTGCCTTATATCCATTGATCAGTATGTTTGAGGTGTATTGATGATTTATGTAACATAATTTAACTATAGTGTCAATGTATGTCAGGTACCTTTTAAAATAATAATGCCAACATAATATGGATGAAGTAAACAAAGCCTCAACATAATCAAGGAGTTAGCTAACAGGAGAACATCACTGAATTCATTGAGTCATCTGTTCCCCAAGGCAAAAACAACAAAAACAAACCCAAATAATTATATTCAAAATACACAGTACGGTTATGGCCTCCAGGAGGAAGCTAAAAGCTAGCACACAACACCAATAGAAGCAGAAGGCTCAATGCTACCTCAATAAAACCAATAGCCAAGACATCATTATCATCATAGGATGAACGGTCCTGTGACCGTTCATCCTTGGTCACAGGATGAATGGACAACTGGATGACGTGGATGCACCTCTGTTTTCGATGGCTTGGATGAGGTTGATGAGGGCTGGGGGAGCCGTCTCTGGTGGAGTGAACTGTTGGCTGAGGTCTGGCACCGGAACAGCTGAAACAACAACACAAACCTCGTTACACTTCGGCCTGCACGAGCCTGCTGCTCACCATCACAACTTCCACAGACCATGTCCCTGTAGAGAAAAACAGATGAAAGATGAGAGTTTTGTGTCCCCTCTCTCTCCTTAAGAAAGAGGTGGACACACTGGATTTCATTTGAACAAAACTGGATTTTATATCAGCACCTTTCATGGTAAAAAAAAAACAATGACAATGCATTAAAATGAACTAATGTCCACGAAGCAAACAATCGAATCTTCAAATTCAAATTCAAAACTACTTCATTGATCTCAAAGGGAAATTTAATTTACTTGACTAGCTAATTTGCTTGCTGCACTTAAACTGATGGAAGAAGCAAGTTCTAACTATAAGGAGCAGGAGAAGAAGAGAGAAAAAACTGCAGTTGGTGGAAAAAAACTTTATCTACTTCACAACTCCCCATGGACTAAATCAAACCTTTTCACCAGCAGGGAGAAAAGAAGAAAGAGGAAGAAAAAATATAGAGAAATCTCATTTCTCTCCCAATTCTTCCCCCTCTCCTCTTTCTTCTCTTTTATCCACTCTGGCTTTCTGTCTCTCTTCCCCAGCGCTCCATCCTGCTCGGGGTTTCACCTCAGCTCTTTGCGTGAGTGGAGCACAATAAAGGATTAAAACTACTGAACAAGCAGAAGCCCGGTGCCAGGCCCGGCTTGGCCCAGTCAGGACAGCCAAAGCCTCCTGCTCCATTCAGGAGTTTGGGCTGAAGGGGTGGAGGGATGTGGGGGGAGTGGGCTGTTCCACTGGATTTTCAGGCCTGGCCGAGGCTTGGCAGCCGACGAATGTTCCTGGCTCGGCTAAACCGCTGCTGATTATTAATTTGGGGAGTTCAGAGGAGTAATGTCGTGTCAGCACATTCCCTCCACATCCTCTCTCTCTTTTTCTGTCTCTCTCTCTAAAAGCCCCCCCTCAGCCCCTCCTGAGTGTCTCTGTCTTGTTCTCCAGCATCTCTCCGTCATCTTGCTTTCACTCTCCTGCACACTTGTTCTCAGTAGATTTTTTCCTCCACTGTTTCACCCCCTTCAGGCCTCTCTCATTTCATTTTCTTTTTCACTTGTTTTACCTCTTTGTGCCGCTCCCTTTGCCTGGATACATATTGGCCAGTTAACCCTGAAAACTCTGCTCTGAACAGCCTCTGCCTCACAGCAGACCTCATTTCATTCTCACCTTCATGTCACAGAATATGCTTCGAGATGTATAATACCTTCTGCTCAATGTTAGCAAAACACAGGAAACCAAAGAATCATACACTTTTAACTAGGGATGCACCGGTCCACTTTTTTCACTTCCAATACCAATACAGATATCTGAGGTTTAGTATCAATCAACACCGATACCGAGCCGATACAGAAAAACTGCTGGTTGACTTAAAAGGCTTTTTCCACAACACAGACATAAATGTACAGAATTACAACACTTAAATACATCAACAGTTTCACAAGTTTGATCAAAGATGTAAAAACAACTTTTATTTGTTCAGTCAGATGTATGACAAATAACGTCAAATAAAAGATGAAGAATTGAAAATAGACAACAGGTTGACTATTTTGGTCAAACATGTAAAAAAATAAACTTCACCAAACCTTCTTTCAAATGGTTCAAAAAGTGCAACTGAATTCTAAATATAATGTAAAATAAATAATAAAGCAGGTGTTGCCCAGATCACAAAGCATAGAAACTGATTGAATAGATTTGTCTCTATGGATTTAGCATATAGTCACTAATACCCAATATAGAATTGTTTTCAATATCAGGGCCGACACAGATATTAATATTGGATCATCTCTGCTTTTAACTGCAAACTTAAGTAGGGACAGAAGTTTAACACATTACTTTTGATTTATTAACTACATAGATATTAACACGTTAAAAATCTGAATGCAACTAATTGTACTTTTCTTTTTACTTCTAAAAATCTTGAGTTGGAACTTTTGTATTTATATTTGAACTTTTGTATTTAAACACCCTGAGTTTACAGTCTGACTGCTTTAGAGACCAAAGCATCCCAGGAAAGTCCTAACCTTAATCTAATTCAGAATCTGTACTGAGACTCAACAATTGCTTTCCATCCAATGAGTTATAACTTGAACTATTTTACAGAAAGACTGCACAAAATGTTCTGCTCTATAGATGTGCAATACTGTGATGACTTATATTCAAAAGCTAATATACGAGTCTCATTAGAACATTATTCTAACCTATTAAATTTTATTGTTCGTGGCATTTAAATAACCATATCTGAGCTTGTCTTCTGATATCAATCTAAACATTTAGGAGTTCAAATTTTGATTTCTCTGTAAGTCATGATATTCAGGTGCTAAATTTGGTTTCTGTAGAAGCTAAGAATGTTTACATTTTCAGGCTTTTTATAGAACATGGACTTAGAAAATAATAGGTAAAACACAGAAAGGAGGATAAAACCTGCCAAGCATTTTAAAACCATGTCAGTGACTCTATGTAAGGTGGTGACAAGACCAGTTGGCGTCTGGTTCACGGACAGTTTTTAACACTGTGTATGCTGATGCTCAGATTTCACTACTCCATGTCTTCAGTACATCCCAACTATGTCGACAGGCAATCCATGACAATGACTGGGCACACTGTAAAACCCCACAGAATACATTAAATCCCTTAGACATTGGAAAAAGACTCCACAACTGTGGCAAACACAGAGAAGAGGGTTACAAAAAATCTCAATGCTCGGCTTAATAATCTTTTAGAGAGAGTTAGTAGCTGCATTTCCATTACAAATATGCAAAAAAAAAAAAAATCAATATCCTGCTAAAAACCCATAGTAAAATAAATTTCCCAATTTCAGATTCTATTAAAAAGGAAATGAAATAAAAATAAATTAAAATCAGATTATTTATGGAGTTAGTAATTAAAAATGATGGTATATTTACACAAGATATTGTGTACATTTTGTTATGATTTTATTCCCTCATCAAAAACATACTTGGAGTGTTGCTTTGATTCTTTCATCAATGTGTGAGAGATCCTTTAATCTCCCATGGCAACCATTCAGCCTCGCAAAACTGCAACTCCTCCAAGATTCTGAGCTTTGGCCTCATAGAGAAACCCTCCCCTTATGATTCTCCTCTCAGCTCCTTCAGACTAGCCAGCAGCTATTAGCGAAACAGCTGGTGGAACTGAATGTCTGCTGAGCTCATCATAGGTGCTACATCTCAGAGCAACATTGGTAAATACATTGTTAAACGGTTAATAGACATGGGATTTTAGCCTTGATTTAAAACTCAGTTTTGCAGTTTTCTGGAAGTTTGTTCCAGATTTGTGCTGGGTCAAATCAGAATCTTGCTTCCCAATTAATGCACACTAAAACGCTGCTTGCTCATGTAAGTGAACAGTAAAAGTGGAGACATTTCAACAATTCTTAGAAATATTTTCATCCAAAATATAAACAATATTTATGTGTATGCAATAATTAGGGGTTTTATTTACTGCTGCCTTTGCAGTCTGTGACATGCTAAAAATACAGAACTAAGGAAGAATTATATAGCGGTGTGCTGGGAAACTGAATCCATCTGGTTCTGTAGGTGGGTGACACTGTAGCTCTAGTCTTTTCCCCTTTAAGCCTCTCTGTATAACCTTTGTTTTTTTTCTGTCTCTACTGTCTCATGACCCTCTCTCAGCCTCCTACATCAGCTCTTTGAAAATGTTTTCTCTGTAGCGTGGGGAGAACAGGGAGAGCAGGGAGAACAGGGAGAATGAGACGAGGCCTCTCCTTTCAGAGCGCTGCCTTGCTAACACGGTTTATGGGCTGCCCAGAGACAGTACAGGCTGTGTGTATGTGAATCAGGGAGAGAGCTGGGAGGACAGAAGAAAGAGAGGAACATGTTAGGCAGAGGGGGCTTTAGGCAGCGAGAAGGAGGACAAAGGGAGGAGTTTGCAAAAATGCCAAGGCATGGTTCACTTCAGCAGGCATTTAGAGGGAGGCCACAGAGGGGAGAAAGAGAGGAAACAGCTCTCCCTAGGTTACTAAAACTGTTTCTGTAGAGTCAAACTGTTGGGTTGTTAAATTTACAACATCTGTTGCTATGAGAAGTATCGAAAATGCCTGTATCACTGAACTATAAAAGAGAGATAAGATGATTGCATGGCATAATTGTCACTTATTATAGGGCAACTTCTCAATTGGTAGGTTTCTACCCAGCAAATTATCTTAATGAAGCCTGTTGGCAGTAGGGATGCACAATCCACTTTTTTCACTTCCGATACTGATACCTTAAGCTTAGTGTCAGCTGATACCGATCTGATACAGAAAAACTGTTCTGAATGACTTAAATGTTTCTTTTTTTAAAACACAGAGATGAATGCACTGAATTACACATTTATTTGGTAACTGCACTGGTACCTCACACTTAAATACACTAAGTTTGGTCAAACATGGAAAAACAACTTTCACTTGTTCAGTACTCCAATTAGGAGTAGAACAGCCAATGTAAAATAAATGATAAAGAAACAGACAAAACAATAGGTTCACTATCAAACATGTAAAAAACAAACCACAACAAATGATTTGCGGTTATTGCAGAGAAGTGAGGCAGCAACTGAGTTTGATGATTTAATTAATATTTCAAGCGAGTACAAACGTCCAGGTAACTCACGTGAGCAAAAAGCTTGGAGCTCAGACACTGGTAGCAACTGGTACATTTTACAAGACAACAACACGACATACAACAGCAACGACAAGGATCCGGCGGTGAAACACAGATACAAGTGGGATTAAATACACAAGAGGTAATCAGGGAACAAAAGACACAGCTGGGACCAATCAGGGCAGAGAAGGCGACAAAAACTAAATTTACACACAAAAAAACCCAAATCCTCTCACAAACCTTCTTTGAAATGATTTAGAAAGTCCAATTAGGAATAATGAAATAAACAATAAAGCACAATATCACTCAGCGAACAAAGCATAGAAATATTCAAATATAA